CCCAACAAAAATTTGTCTCTTGATTCCAGTATCTTTACCATTCCTTTTAGTAAGAGGTTGTTGTTGGTGGGGTGAGCTAGTTTCATCCCTTAATACAGTATCAACAATGCTTAGGTAAAACTTGAGAAAACCTTTGCCACCATCAATTCCAAGTTTAACAAAATAGCTACGAGAAATTTTGCGGAACTGAATAACATGATTCACAAGACTTGATAAATCATTGCAGTGAGCAGCAACATGAACTGTACAAGAATCTGTTTTTTCGTCTGTGATTTTTAAGTCGCTGCAGGTGAAGAAATCGCTCAATTATTGACCGAGTCTTAGAAAATTCATGTAGAAACCATCTTGCTGCTTGATGTTTTATTTACAGTTCTAACAAGTTTCTTTAATCCGTTGTTTGACAGGTCCGTATTTAATTTCACATTTACAAGGGCTACAGTGGTCAATTTTGGAATGGAGCACTTGATGGTGTCTGCGCAGTACTTTGACCTAAAACCAAAGCATACATATTTTATAGTTACAATAAACTTTGTTTAGTAAGTTTGAGTAAAACTTTCAAGTTATTCGTTTTTAAAGAAATTAGAAACTTGTCAAAAATATACTTCTTGAAATCTATCTGCTGTTATTTCTTAATAGTCAAGACTTTATTTCAATATATATGTTAAAATTATTTAAGTATAAATGTTTACCCGGATTAACTGTTAGTGGAGGCCCGCCGGATGCTTTAGCCAGTAGAATAATTCTTTCCGGAGATAATTCTTTATTGGAAATAACTTTAATGGAGATGCGACTTATTCGGATGAACATTATTTGAGAGCATTGGTGGGGAAAACCTTTTCCTAAAGGGCTGAGGCATTCGCTGCAACGCACCTTTGGTTTTTTCTCAATAGTGATTTGCTCTATAAGAGGATGTTTTTCTTGCAGCTTTGAATGACCAATTCGGCATATTAGGCAACAGCACATCGTGCCTCTTATTTCATGTCTCACTTGTATTGACAATCAAACAAAGGAGGGCGTGTAACTTCTTTCTCCTCTTGTTTCCTGTGCAAAGTAATTCTACACGATTCGCAGAATCCTTTTCGTAACCAAGTATCACTGATATTGATTTCGGTCTTGTACAGTTGGCATATTTGATTTGCTTGAAAAGTAGTAAGCTGCCTTAAACATTTCGATTTTCATCATTATTCTTTGCTTGATTTGGCATTGTGGCAATTCACTAATTTTGACTTCACTAAATCAAACTCTGCCTTTTACAAAATTTGACCTAAATTTATATTTGATAACAATCCACTTAACATAGTAACACATATTATTAATTAAAAGCTATTAAAATAAAGGAAATATTTACTTGATTTAATTGAGGTTATATTAAATTACAAGGAAATAATTCATGAATAGTTCTTTTCTTACCAGGAAACAATTGTTTAAACTATTTACTTGTAAGGAAATTAGATTATTGATAATTGTCACACTTATTAAACTAATAATATTTGTCACACGGGTTGTTTCAAAACAACTTTTCAACCTAATTAGTTATTCAGTTAGAGTAATTTTCCTCCGACTGGCTCTCCAAACTTTGCATTGGTCAGATATCTTAGTTAGCTTATCAAAATTGTTTAAGTCAATTATCTTTGTCGATATAAAAATGTTTAGTTTTTTCACAGTTGTTCTGTTTTCAGATAAATATTTTTATTTTCTATGTTGGTAACCCTAAAAATTCTGGCAGTAGTTTATACCTTAGAAATTGAGGAATTGACCCCTCCACTTTGAAGGCCGTGTCAACGCCATTGGCATAAGCCAATTCAAATCATGCTTTAAGTAGCAAATCACTATTTTGGTCAGTAAAATGAAAACTGTGCATGTACCGATAAAATAATTATAACAAAAATTGTTGGTATATCATAGTAGAACACTCATGTAACCGTTATTTTAAAAATAGTGACCGAATTTCAAAGTAATCCTTGAAATTTGGTCACTATTTTTTATATTCGGTCACTAAAGCTTTGAGGTATAAGTAGCAAAAAACTGACAAAACTTCAACTAAAACTACAATAAATCCTACACCAGTCATACAATCAGGCTGAATTTTGTCCAGAGTTTGGTGTGACTATTGGCTACATTTGCACTAATTTTTATCAAATTATATTGAGTAGTTCAAATTCTACAAGTGTTTTTATTGGCGCACTATAAAGTCAAAATTTGATTTAATTTGAACATTCAAATTAATTTTTTTTCCGCGGACAAAATTAAATGATTTCAAAATTTGCATCACAGGGTACCTTGATGTGTACGCTAACTTTTCTTATAAGTGGGGTTCTTAGGACAGCTAGGTAGGCATTATAAGGATCCGTGCTAACCGTGCGCAACTCGTAAATATGCCATCATAGGAAAAAGACACCATTTTCACTTAAAGTAGCTGTGCCTGCCTTGTTCAAAAGAAACAATTAAAGTAAATATTCTAATTAATGCACAAAAGATGTAGTTGAAATGCAAAACAATTTTTTTTTTTGCGTTTTAAAATCATAACCTTAAATATATAAAATGATTAAAATTACTTCATCATATCCCAAAAATAATTTCTGTTAATTATGAAAACAATATTTGTGTAAAATTTAAAAATTTTCATATAAATTATTCTAAAGCCAATATAAAAAAATAGATCAAATCAGTTTTTCACTAAAACCTATATTTATTGAAATATGCCATCATAATATCATAATATCATAATATTTATGGAAGTATGCCACCATAAGCGCTATTTTATCATAGGCACGTTTCCCCTATATATAGTTATAAAAACAGTCTTTTTAATCGAAAGCAAGCATACAAAAAACTCAAAACATAGTGTAATCAAATTTTAATTTAAAAAATATTCAATCAAATAAGTGCGCAATAATATTATTTATATAATATTTCAGTAGGATAATATTTTTTAAAAATTTTAAAAAACCTCATCCTAAATTTAAATATTGCTTTTTTTTTTTTAATTTCCTTTTAAAACAAGATTCGTTAAAAATTTTTAAATAAAAAAACTTTTTTTTTGTGAAAATAATTATATGCAGTTATTGTGTTTCTAACAAAAAAAAATTATTTCACATTTTTTTTAGTTTTGTTGCTTGATGAGTGTCATTTTTAATCATTTTATTACTTTGTTATCAGTTTAGTTTTGTTTTGTTAACTGACGTATCAGTCAACGGAATCATCCATTTAAATCAGTTTATTGTTTTTTTTTTTTTTTTTTTTTTTTTTAAATATTAAGTTAATCCTGTTAAAAAATCCTGTTAAAAAAATTTAACAAGAAGTTGTAAAAATAAAATTATCAACAACGTCTTTTAAACTTACTTTCACTTTAGCCATTTTTTCTATTTAAACGGTTTTAAATTTTATTATTTAGAAAACTTAAAATAATGCCAGTTGCAATTAGAAATGTTTCAAGCAAGTACTATCTTGATGGACGTGGAGGTGAAGCAAATCCATTGATGACAAATAGAGATCCGCGTGGTGATGCGTATCTTAATTGGAATATTGAGCGTTTACCAAATGGAAACTATGTTATCAGAAGTTTCTAGCGGAAAATACCTTAACGGAAAATTGCTACAACTTGATTACGTAGGACATCACGACCATCATCATCTTGGTAATCACGAGCATCTTCAATGGCAATTCATAAAAGTGAATGATAGAGATCAATACGCAATAAGAAGCGTTTCAAGTGGATCATATCTTGATGGAAGAGATGGTCAGCCTGACCCACTACTGACTTCTCGCAATCCTCATGGGGATGCTTACCTTAATTGGACATTAGAATATATTATTTGATGACAATTAATGTATTAGATGAATGTCAAGTGTAATTTAAAAAGAATTTATGATAAATTTTTTTTTTTTTGTAACGAAAAAATTCGAATTTCTTATCATTAGACGTATAGAAAAATGTTACTCTTATCCAAAAACCAAGTTCAAAAAATTTTTGAAAAAAATTCAATTGTTTAAAATTAAAAAAAGTCAAAACTCTAAATAGAGTTGCCAGAGCATAATTACAAATAACAGTGCCATAACAACAAAAGCTGTCTCTATATGGTCACAAGTTTTTAATAGAATTGTGTTCTTTTTCTTTGGCTTTATTAAGGACTTTGTTTTTAATCTTTTGCTTGTATATACTTGGTTGTACTTAAAGTTATGAGCTGTGTTTACGATAAGCTATCTTTGTGGTCAAACATAGCTTTAAGACTTTTGATGTTCCTTTTCGTAATTATTTTCAAATCCTACCTCTTCCAGGGACTCTCTGGTGCCCAGAACTATTTTCAGCGCGTTGAATAATGATATAGATTGTGGTAATAAAAAAATTTTCAGTAAGAAACTGATCAACTTTAAACTTTTCTCCTTTAGATCGAATTTTCAAATAGAAGCTACAAAGTTACCTTAAAAATAGAAATCAAGCAGTATCTAATGATTCAACGTGTACAAAGTTAGAAACAATAAGCTGTGAAGTTCCTGAAGGTTCTATTCTTAGACCCTTACTATTTTTGATTTTCATATAAGATATCTACCTATTCTCAAACATGCTTAGTTTTGTTCTTTTTGTTGATGACACCAACCTTTTTTATACCAATTCTAATACTAAAAATTTTTTTTTTAGAGTAAATCGCGAGCTGCAAAACCTTAATGAATGGTTTAAATCAAACAAATTCTCTTTGAATACCATTAAAACTAAATACACTTTATTTCATCACCAATCTAAATGCAATGACTTGCCTCTGCAATATCCTCAGCTAATAATATTTGTAATACGACAACTATCTTTACTTTTTAAGAACTCTGTTCTTTTTCATACTATTTACAATTTTTATACATTTTTTCGTCAACAACAAAAGCTCCCTTGGAAAAATTATGTACAAACAAAAGAAAAAAGAAATTACGACATATTTACACTAAGGATTTGTAAACGCTATTAAATTATAATAGCGTTTACAAATTAGCTATTAACATCTACTAAGTTCTTAAGACAAATAGTCATTTAAATATGCCGGCTTTCTCCATTCTCTAGTCGAACGTCTGAGCAACGGTAATAAATTATCCATGATTTCAATACTGTCATTTTCTTCGTCAGCAACTGACTCTTCATCAACTGACTCTTCAACTTCCTCGTCTCTTGCAATATGTAAATCGTCGAACTCACTTTCGTCGCTTTCATTTTCTTCAACACTATTCATTCTTGAAACTTTCTCGCCATATGATTCAGGAATTATTCTCACGTCTCTCACATGTCGTGGTACGCCATCAATTTCAATATTTGTTTTTGAGAGTATATTGGTCACGTTACCAATTTTCCAAACCGTCGTACACTTTGCACCAACACGACGAACATAAACTTGTTCTCCAATTCTATAGGTTGCCGAGTCCTTTTGTGGTCTTTCGTAACTTTCTGTGTTGTGAATAGGTAGACGCCAGACGTACTTATTTTTTAGAGAAGCAGGTGTAGAGTCTTCTGGCGTTCCAATCTTTGATGTTGCATTATACCAAAATACCGCTTGTAACAGACATATCTGTGCTCTCGCAGATGTGCGTTTTACTGTGCGGTGGTTACGCTCCACGATTCCATTTCCTGATGGTCTATATGCACATCTATGCACCTTTTTCACACACCATTTTTCACACATGTTTGACAACTCATTTGATCTAAACACAGCTCCATTGTCCATCAATAGTTCGTGTGGCGGGCCATGCTCCCTAAATACGGAATCCAATTGAATTAATATAGTCTTTGTATCTTCGTGTAGCATCTTTCTCCATACTGCGAATCGACTTGGTCCACAGTCAATCATTGTTAGGTACGGTGACCCTTTATAGTGAGTTACGTCACATGCAATACGATACCATGTATCTGGTACATCTAGCACTCCATGTTCCCATTTTATTGGTGCTGGATCAATTGAACTACATTGACGACATTTGCGCACACAGTCTTTAACGTCTTTTCTCGACACTTGCCGGATTCTTTTTTGTACTGTAAACATTGTTCGATTAACGCCAAAATGATGTTTCGAGTGACATTTACGAATTTCATCGGCAATATTTACCCCACATAATTCTTTAACATTTTTTCGTGAAATTTCATTTAACCACTTTTTTGAAACTCTTGTTAATACATCTGCTTTGTTTTTAGAAGACGTAACCCACTTCACTATGATGTTCATTCTGTATTCCTTTATTAAATCACGCAATAATGAAAGTTTTCGTTTGATTAGCATTTCTGATAGTCCATTTGACCGAACCCTATGACTTTCAGTCAGCACACTTTTTAACCATCCATGAACAGTTACCGAGTCAATAAATATCGATAGATTCTTGATGTCCCACTTAACAGCTAGGTTTATTCCACGCACCACAGCATCTAATTCAGCCATATTAATATGCATGACATCATTTGTTTTGCGTAGCCATGCTGCATCCTCAACTATTACGCCGTTATATTCGATTGCAACACCCATTGCAATACTACAAGTATCACACCACAATATTGCTCTATTTTGAATACCATCAGCATTCCATGTCTCTTTTACAGGATCACTAGCGTTTCCAACAAAGCACTTTTTTATCGTTTCTGAATATTTGCAAACCCAAAACTCGTGCAACATCACATTCTTCCGGCTCTTTTGTTAACAAACCATACCGTTCCAAGTGGTTTACGACGTTTTCAACCGATGTCTTTTTCAAATTAACGATTATGTCGTCGACATAATGGTCAGTTGCTTTAGCACTTTGCCTAAGATTGACGACATAATCTTTGATGCAGAATTTAACCCAAATCCGAGTCGTGTAAGATGGTATTGCATCTCTTTGTAGACTACCCTCTGATGCTTCCACAAAACTGGATCAATTCAGTGCAAATTCGTCACTAACTCTTCTCCATCTCCTCAATGTTTCATCGCAGGCATCACTTGAAGCATTATGTGAATTAACGTATTGATTCAACTCGCGAAAATCCAAGACAGGTAGTATCTTCCCTTTATTTTCTTGTTCAACTGCCATTAAAGGGACAATTCCTTTTTTATTATTTTCATCTATTTTACATGGTTTCAGCCAACCATTTTTCACCCATAAGTCCATCTCTTCGTTAAATTGATGTATCAACTTGGGTTTTACTTTGTACTGCGTGACAAAGTTCTTCAGTTGTGGTTCATCTTGTTTCCATTTATATTTAGCAGTCCATTTCATGCCATCAAAATTAGCGTCAAAGTCCTTGTCCTTTATATCAACAAATTGTTTTTCTGTGTGAATTGAAACAAAACCAAATTCAATTTTTCCATCGTATAGGTGCACTCCTTCACAACGATTAATAATATCCATACCAATAACAGCATCAATACCGTTAACAACATTTTTTAAAACTATTACGGATGCTTGTAGTTGTTTTCCTGCAACCATCAATTTCACTATAGCTTCTCCCACTGTTTTCACGAGTTCTCCATTTACAGCCAGTACCATGAATTCGTTTCTATTGACACAAACATCTGCTTTTTGAGCCATTTTGTTTGAAATGATGGTTCGAGTACATCCACTATCAACCAGTGCTTTTCCTGCATATGTGTTCTCATGCACACTGCATATCGGAAGCGCCGTTAGTTGTCGAGGGAAACAGCTGGCGCTGGAGGTTTCCCACTTGCGTTTCCCTGTTACAAGGAGCAAAATCTTGCAATGTGTCTAGTTTTTCCATATCGAAAACATTGTATTCCCTCAGTGACAGTTTCTTTCTTTGCAAAACAGCTTCGAGCAACATGCCCAGGCTTGCCGCAATTGAAACAGTTGAATCGTGAAGCAGATTTTCTATTATTGTTTTATAACTTCCAGAGATTTGTTGTTGAAAGACATTCTTCTTTCGTTACTTTTGACAAAAGTACTCTTGCGTGGTTCAATACATCATTCAAGTTGATCCCGAATATTTGCGATTGTAGCTGCTTTGAAATTTCACCAGGCAATCCAGTTATAAAAGCTCGTTGCAACAATTCTTCGTTTTCAACTTTGGCCAACTGCATAAGTTGACGCAAACTGGCCATATATATATCAACGGATTCGCTTTCGTTCCATCTGCGATCCCTGAACAGCTCGTAGGCTTCGAAAAGATCAACCGCAAATGCATCCAACAAAGCTTTTTCGATATCCACGGCGGAGGCTTTCTCGTTTTCGCTAAGTTGTTCATACAAAGCAAACGCATCTCCTTCTAGAAACAACGGAATTATTAACGACAGATCGCCCATCTTTTGAAGCTCTCCGACCAGCTTGACTTTTTTCAGCCACACAACAACATCGCCAGACCCATCGAATTTTCCGATCATTTTTGCCATGGATGACATATTGCCGAAATAGCTTGTAAAACGACAACTATCTTTACTTTTTAAGAACTCTGTTCTTTTTCATACTATTTACAATTTTTATACATTTTTTCGTCAACAACAAAAGCTCCCTTGGGATAATTATGTACAAACAAAAGTAAAAAAGAAATTACGACATATTTACACTAAGGATTTGTAAACGCTATTAAATTATAATAGCGTTTACAAATTAGCTATTAACAATATTAGCTGAGGATGATATCTTAATTGGAAAAATCATTTTACGCTAATTGAAAACAAAATTTCTAAAACTATAGATATTATTCATAAAACAAAACACCTGCTAAGTAAAAATATTTTAGATTTATATTACTCTTTTATCCATAGCTACATAAGCTATTGTAATACTGCTTGGGCAAGTACTTGCTCTAGACCATTAAAAAAATATATATATATATTAAACAAAAACAAGCCAGTATAATTATGTAATAAGTAATGTGAATAAATTATAAAATATGTAATATGCATAAATACGCCTACTCCAAGTCGTTACTCCGGGAAATTAAAGCTCTTAATGTCTATGAGTTAAACTTGTTCCAAAACATGTTATTCATATTTAAAAATCAAAATGACATGCTTCCAAAAATCTTTAACAACTGGTTTCTAAAAATTAATTATAAATACTTAACGAGGTGCTTTATCAATAACTTTAATTTACCAAAGTCAACTCTTAAAACATCTGATTACTCAGTTTTATATAGAAGACCTCGACTGTGGAACATAGTTCCTGATGAAAATATGAAAAATATAACTTCAATAAACTGTTTTAAAAATTATAGTTAAACAGTATTTACTTGAATTAAAAGACAAAAACATATTTTTGTATTTTTAAGTAAAAAAAATACCTCTTACTTTACCTTTTTATTTATTTTTTGCAACTTATCGTATTCTTGTTGCATTTTATCAACTTATCGAATTCTTGTTGTAATTATGTATTAACTTGTTTTGTATAATGGACTTATTATTTTATATAATCACTCACAAATTGACTTGATATATAAGACTCACATTTCATGTAATCCCAGACAGCAGGGATGTAGTGGTCCCGCACTATTCCTTTATAGGTTGCCTCGCTGGACCGGCTTCGGCTGCCAACCCTTGCAAAGCTTCGTTTTGCTCGAAGGACTTTTTAATGGACCAGCCGTGGCTAGCCAGCGATGGCAAAAAATTGACTTGCCAGTGCGGGACGAGAACTAGCAGAACAATGATTAGCCATTTTTAGATAAATATTTTACAAACGTATTTTACCGTACCATCGTGATTTTGTCTTTATTAACTAACTGGGTCGCGCTTAGGATTGTTATGGATTTTAGTCAGGCAATCCTATTTGAAGTCCTTATATTTTCCTTTCAGACCCCGTCTTCTTAATTATTTAACGTTGTTCTAAGCACAATCGACTAATCATCACAAACAAACTCTAAAAACAAAACATCAAACTATTAAACCTAATAATTAAAACTAGCTGGTATGACCCGTCAGATACGGGTCGTGCCAAGTCTAATCCACACCCGACAATTTCTAAACTTGTTCCTTCGCCTTTATACTTTAATTTATTTTAGTAAACGGCAAAAAATAAATCAGTTTAAATTACAATTAAAAATAAATCAGTTTGCAATTACAATTAAAGTTCGCATTTTACCATCTACCAGATGGTAAAATGCGAACTCTTAAGAAAATTAAATCGAACTTTAACTGCTCGTTAAACTATAATTAATTTAAAAGGAAAGTCTAATTTAAATAAAATATATTGAATAACAATATATTTAATTCAAAAAATCGATGAGCAAATGTTTTGAATATCATGACATGTATATAACAATCTGATAATATTAATACGCTAATTTAATAGTAGGTAATAGTCGACTTACGTCATCTTCTAGGCTTGTCTATTTTTAATATTATATATATATATATATATATATATATATATATATATATATATATATATATATATATATATATATATATATATATATATATATATATATATATATTTTATTTATTTTTTCTTTTCCAGGTATACCATATAAAATATACATTTATCATCGTGATAAAAAGAAAAAATATATATAAAATTATTACGTATCAGATTGATAAAAATACATTAATATAACTTTGATACATTAATATAGTATTGATGCAAACTTAATATAAATTCTGGTATAATAACTATTATATATATGCTTATTTTTTTCTATACTTTAATACATAAAAAAAGGAAATTAAAGAAGATTCAGCATTTTATATATATATATATATATATATATATATATATATATATATATATATATATATATATATATATATATATATATATATATATATATATATATATATGTATATATATATATATATACACCTAAACACATACAAACATACACACACACACACATATATATATATGTGTATATATATTTTATTATTTTTTCATTATTATTATTATTTTTTTTTTACTTATATTTTTTATTTTTACTTTTTTTTTTTTTTTTACAAACTAAGAATATGCAACTTTGCTTGCCGTTTAAACGACGATATTCCATTTAAGTCTTTTAATTTTTGATTTTTCAAGTTTTTCCATATTTTAGGACCCTGTGACATAATTGAAAATTCAGAACCCCGGGTTTTAGTTTTTTTAATATAATAGTTATGAAAGCTATTTGATCGTAGATTATAACTTTAAGAAAATGATGGCGAGAATATGTCTAAAAAAGAATTTGGTAGCATATTATTTTTATATTTGAACATAAAAATAAGAATCTGATATAAATTAAGTTTTTCCAAGTTTAAGACTTTCATATTTGTCATCGCATTGGAAGGATTGACCATTCTACCTAGATAATGAATTGCTTTACAAGCATGGTTTTGCAAGCTATGTAGTTTGATTAATTTTGTTTTGTGTGTATTAGCCCACACTATTTTAGCATATGTGAGATGACTGTGAATTAGACTAAAGTAAAATTTTTTTTCTTGAACAGAAATCAAGAAACGGGCGACATTTATATAAAATACCTATTGCAGATGATATTTTTGTTTCAATGTGTCCAATATGATTTCTCCATGATAAATTTTCATCAATATGAACACCAAGAAACTTTGCATATTTTTCCCGTTTTATTGTTATGTTGTTAATGAGCAATTCTGGAATTTTTAACGGTAGAGACATTGATTGACCTGTTTTATGAAATAAGATGTAGTTGGTTTTTTCACAGTTTAAGGATAGTTTATTTGCTCTAAACCATAAATTA